AGGAAAATGGTATAATATGTAAAACCTAATAATTGAGGGTGTAACTGCAGAAGATTTTGAGAGTACAAAGGAGGTAAGTGAAGTATTTGTATTAATACAGGGGAGGCAAGTGAAATTAGCGATATCTTCTATTTCGTCAAACGGACTTAGTTAGTGTCAATCTACTTAACACGGAAACTTCAACTTCTTAACGTTTTTGCATTTCGGACACCTTTCGTGTCGGACACTCGAGAACGCCTGTCGAACACCTTATGGGCCATTTCGCAATTTCTAAAAAGTTAGAAACATGTTTATATATGTTTACATAGCATATTTATAAATACACCTCTATAATTTTAATATTTTCAAGTTTCCCCCAAACTCACGTATCTCTATTTTCGGGATATGCCGTTTCTCCGTACCCGTTTCTGTAATTCCCCATATCATTATTTCCGTATCCGTGCTATATAGGTGTCAATCGAACAAACCCTAAATCAATATTTGTAACCTAAAAAAATATATATAAAGGAAAAAGACATCTGATATAACTATTTGCTTCACTTTTTTTTCTGTCTGTAATTAATTGAGTCACTTATTCTCGGTCTAAATAACTAGGGTTTGGCCCACAACCCTAATTTCTTTTTAGGGTTTTTCACCATTTATATGCAATCAAACTTTAGTGTACCGTAAGATTATGTTTGAACTAAAGATTGTGTGCTTTTTCTAAAGTATATGAATAAAGGAATATTCTTTTGAATCGAATTAGCTTAAAAAATCGAACTTTCCTAAATGTTCGAATTATAACCGGATATACAAATATATGCACTAAGTTTTACATGTAACATTTTTAATTAAGTGGTATTTTTGTCTCTCTTATTGTAGAGAGAGATTGCGGTTTGATTTTTTTTTTTTATTTTTTTATTATTATAATGAATAATTAAAGGGAAAAAAATTTAAATATGTCTACTTCAATCGAGTCAAATTGGTTTGAACTTGTTAATTTTTTTAATTATTTTTATTTTTTAATATTGTCAATATTTTGGAGCAATAAGTTTTTAGAGGTCAACTTTGTGATAGTATTGACAATAATACAAACTGATGTGATGATTGGCATGTATATCTCGTGTTCTTGTTCAATAATGCAAACCAAACAGTGACTGGCGGATCTAGACAACCTTTTAAGGGGGGGCGAATTTTTTAGGAAAAAAATTTATCCAACGGGAGGTTATAATTTTAGGAATTTCAGGGGCAGCGCCCCCGATTTTTTTTTTCGAGTTATTCATAAAATATTGCTAAAATAAGTATATATTTATAATTTCGAAGTAAAAATATATATTTTAGTAGTTGTATTTTATATTCTAATAACAAATAGATAAAGAATATCTAAAATTACATAAAAGAATAGAGAAGAAGATAAAAAATGGGGTTGGGGGGGGGGGGGGGGGGGGGGGGGGGGGATATCAAAAACATATATTTGTATAATAATATGTCAAAAAGCAACAAAAAAAGTTGGAATATTTTTTTCTATAGGGCAGTAAATCCGCCACTGCCAACAGTTCCAGAAAATTAAATAAATAAATATGGCGATGCATGCAGTAGCAATTATCTATGATGCACGGAAACTTCAACCAACATGCATTTTGATGTTTTGGAAACCGAAACTCCATGACACCTATCGGAAACGTTTTGGGGTCGTTTTCATAAATATTTAAAAGTTTCGGGGACATTTATGATAATAATGAAGAATTGGAACGCGTTTCCACACAAAATAAATCCAAATTTCATTTTAAATAAAAATTTCGAATTGTATACGCTTAAAAAAATCATAAACATTATCCCTCCTTTTCACTTCTAGTGGTGTTCTAATATTTTTGTAGATGTTAATTCCATACTAAAATAAATTTCTATGATCCGAATGTAATTTGTAGAATGATATTATACATTAAGGTAAATTACAACTACCCCTGAGGTATGTTCAAATTACGAAACCCCCCTCATGTTTGGGTATATTACAACCATCCCTCAACCATAAATCTTCTTACACGTCCATCCTTGCGGTTTCAAATTTAGTGAAATCTTCGAAATTATATGGAATTTTATCACATTTATACACATTTTATCCCTTTCGATCTCCACAATTTAAAGCAAGATGATCATAATATGTGTTTTTTGGCTTGTAGATATCAGATTGTGGGGCATTAGAAACTGTTTTTTTGCACAAAACTAGTACAAACTAGAGCAAGTTCTACGAAATCTAGATGATTAGGTTGAATTTCATACCAAAAGGGTGGAGGTGTAAAAAAAAATCATAATTGCGGGGGAGGGGGTAGCAGATATAATTATCCGAACAAGAGGGGTTTTTTCGTAAATTTATCATACCTCAGGGGTGGTTGTAATTTAACTTAAACATTATAATATTTTTTTAAAATTATGAATGCACCCCTATATTTTTATTATTTACGCATTTCCCACGTTCCTGTATCTAACTTTTTGCAAAATGGAATTTTCCCGTGTACATTTTCTTATTTACCGTGTCCGCGTTCCCGTGTCCGTGCAACATAGGCAATTACTTCATCTTGTCACTATATATATATATATATATATATATATATATATATATATATTAGAAATAAAACTTCAGAGAGAAAAAAAAATAAAAAAAATAAAAAAGGAAATATAGTATTGTAGGTTAATAATTAGTAATTTTTTAGACCATTGACATTCCTCTGATTCGATTCGATGAATTTTGTCTGGATCCAAAAACATCGCTATTTCGATATATGATCATGTTGTATTTCTTTTCAAGAATTTGTCGATTTCCTATTTCCATCAACCGAAAGTAACTTTCGAGCTTTAAACTTGGGTAATTCATCAATTGAATCATCCTTCGAATATTTTTATTTTTTATTTTTTATGATGTATGTGTAGCATGCGTAAATACTGTCATCTAGGGACATAAATTGGATGGATCAGATCGGAGTTAGCCCTTTCGAAATAATCCCGATTTTTTTTTTGTAAGAAAAACTAGTTTCAATTCCGATCGGAAAAAAAAACGAAATCAAAAATTTTCAGATCGGATCCAGCGGAATCCGGAAAATTCCAACTTTTGGTCATCTAAAATATATAATACATAATAATATTGGTTATTTAAGTGTAATATTAGGAAAAAATAATTCAAAATTTTCGCAATTATTTTCGGAACTTAAATCAGGATCGGAAATTGGAATCTCATATTTATTCCAATTCCGATCCAAATAATTTCAAAAAAATCTGAAGTCTGAATTTCGGGATTCTGATTAAAAAACATTTTTCCAAAATCGGAAAATTTTTGGATCAGAATCGATGGAAAATCGAAAATTTTGTTCCAATTTTCACCCCTTGTTATCAAATTGAAGCAAGAGGTACTCCATTATTTGGAAGAAAGAAATGGCCCAAGCCCATAATTTTTGTTAATTCAAATTTCTTAAAGCCCATATCTCAAGTTAAAATTAAAATCCATGTACGAACTAAAAACATATACCAAACGGGTTGAACTTGAATCCACAATTGTAAGAAGAAGCCTAGTCATTAGTCCACTAAATACCAAGTTATGCAATAAACTTAACATAATTCAATTTCTTAAGTTCATAGATATTATTGATATTATATCCCGAAAAAACATATGAATTTTGCGACATACACTATAGTTTAGTCGAGTGTCAAGTGGAGACATATTACTATATTACCCTCATAAAACTACATGAGAAAAATAGCCCTATCATTCATCCCTTTCTTCTTCTTGTATATGTTACACTCAATTAAGAGGGTGTTTGGATAAGCTTATAAACTGTTAAAACGAGTTTATAAGATGTTTAAAAATTCATAAATTCTTCCTAAGTGTTTGGTATTTTTTTTATAAAAAAATCTTAAAAATTCAAAAAATAAGGTTAATTCTAGTAATAAAACGTAACAATTTGTCAACTTATCAAACATAAAAGCTTATCAGCTATTTAAAATAAGTTTTCGCTAAATGGGCTCCATCGTCATCGAACGTATTTGAGTGCATGTAGTTTAGTGGTGGTAAACGAGGTGAGTTGGCTCGCGAACTCGACGAGCTGGCTTGAACTCGAGCTCAAGCCAAATTTTAGTTGTTCGACAGCTCGCGAGCTGCTTTTTTTTTCTTCTTTTTAATATATTATTATTAACTAAATATTAAATAGTCTATAATAATAAATATTTCTAGTATTTAAATAGAAACAAATGTATATTACTTAGATAATTCATAATAATATAAAATATTATAATAATAATAATAATAATAATAATAATAATAATAATAATAATAATAATAATAATAATAATATAAAACTTAAAAAAATATAATTACAGTTCATTATTTATAATAATTTTTTTCTATTTTGCTATAAATAATTTTTAATAAAAATATAATAATTAAGGGAAAGAAAACCCTAAATGAGCTCGAGCTCGAGCGAAAAAAAAAATAACTTGATGAGCTCGAGTCAGCAAAGCAGCCGAGCTCCGCGTTCACACCTCTTTGTAGCTTTTACACAAGACCCATCCAATCAAAACGAAGCACCGCACAAAATCCATCACAGGCAGGTAATGTTATCACCGCCTTTTCGATAAGCATAAAACCGAACCCGATTCCCCTTATTCGAACCGCCTTTTTCCTCCTCTTAACAAACTTCAACAGACGTTCCCTCATTTTTCACAAACCCTAGAAACGAAACTATTTCCACTCGATTCGATTTCTCCGATCAAATCCATCCAAAAATGTTGAGGCAGGTAACGAACAGGATCGTCGGTCAAGGGCTGCGCTCCCCTGCGGCGGCGGCGCTGAGGATGTACCACGAGAGGGTGGTGGATCACTACAACAACCCTAGGAACGTCGGGGCGTTCGACAAGAACGATCCCACTGTCGGCACGGGTCTTGTCGGAGCGCCGGCGTGTGGTGACGTCATGAAATTGCAGATTAAGGTTGACGAGGAGAGCGGGAAGATTGTTGATGCTTGTTTCAAGACCTTCGGCTGCGGTTCCGCCATCGCCTCCTCCTCTGTTGGTGCGTATGTTACAGTTAGATCAATATTTTTTCGATATCGTAAAACTATGGCGTATGGATTTCGATTTATGTAATTTGATTTGTATCTAATTGTTTAATGTTGTTTTGTTTGAGTTGATTTGGGGTGAACGGTATTTGTTTCTGGGTAAATTTCATTGTGAGAACATTAGTGAGCTGGAAATTTGGTTTAATCAATACTTAGAATCGAAAGTTCGATAGTATATTACTGGTCGAATTCATTGATATTTACGTGGCACAAGTGAATTTCAGTTCGGCGAATTACAACTGCTTCTGGATGAACTTTAGTTCTTTGATTGTGAAGCTGCTACTTCTGAATGATAGGGTTGTGACTTGTGATTTTGTCGGTTTAGTAGCATTTTAGCATATACCTCAAATTCTTTCCGATAGCATGAATTGCATAGATTAGTCGGTCCTTGGTCTAGATAGTACATCGGTATTCGCTGGATAGTTATATGATCCACATGAAATTGATTTTGCGTTTGTTTAGGCTTTATCACGACCATCGATTATCTGTCCCACTCCACGTTAGTGTTTATCCAGAAACGCGCGCGGGGGGGGGGGTGGGGTATTTCGTGCCTGATTGTTTCTTATATACCTTGGTATTTAATCCTCTATAAGTTGATAATTTTTATTATGTTTACCAAGTTTTATCAGTTGACTTTGTCCTATGGAAATGATAATTGGTATGGAAATGATAATTGGAATAGGATATATAAATATCTCGATCATGGTATCATATATATGGCAAGGAATAAGATGATCACACTATGCTTAATGCATTCTAGAGGCATGAATTTTGAGTACTAAGATCGAGATTTTTTTTTTTAACTTTTATCTTATTCTTGGCTTTGCTGCTATTACTTGGTCACTCCAACGAACTATTGCTAAGAATTTTTTTTTGGCCCCATTTTCAGCCACCGAATGGGTGAAGGGTAGACAAATGGAAGATGTTCTATCAATCAAGAACACGTAAGTTGGTCTGCTTTCAAATACCTTTTATGTGTGATTTGACTGTTGTAATATAGTGCCTATAGTTCGGAAAAGCTTCAGGCTAGTAGTTCTGCATCTCCTTTAGTTTGTACTACTTGCATTTTGTGATCTTATAAATATTTTTGCCTTAACAGGTTATATTTTCCTTTTGAAATTTGATAGTCGTCACTCTTCGATAACATAATCTGTAATTCCTGTTGCTCTGTTAAGATTCAATTGAACATGAGCGTTTTTTTATTTCTGCTTTTAAGGCGAAATGTTGTATGAGATATTTGCTTTACTAAGTTATCTGGCGGAATGTTTCTGTAGCTATGTTGAGAGTCTTAGAATCTAATATTATATTGTTTTATGGAAATTCAAATGGGAACAATTTTTCTAGACATAACAGGTTCAGTCGACTTTTCTTGCCAAGCACGTGATTTTTATTTTCAAACTATTTCCCGAAGAATCTTACATGTTTCTCAATAGCTTGTGATTTTCTCTGACACTTTTTTCTTATATCAATAATAGGGAAATTGCGAAACATCTGTCTCTTCCACCGGTGAAACTCCATTGCAGCATGCTCGCTGAGGATGCAATAAAGGCTGCTGTGAAAGATTACGAGGCGAAGCGTTCGAAATCTAATGAAACCACTGCGGATAAAGCTGCTGCTGCTACTGCTTGAGGATGTGCTGCTCAAAACATTATATAATAATCATGTCGCAATAATGGCTGTACGTGGAAATCAATAAGCCTCTGCTTTTATACTCGTTTGATGTAATATTTAAAGGATAATTGTGTACGAGCATGTATAGTGAATTTTATGGTATTTACGTGGTCGAGTATTTTCTGGTTGCTCTTTTTTTGTGCTTGTATGTAGAAGTGCTTAACCGTATTAGTGGAGTTTAGATTTTCTATTTGAAGTTATAAAATGGGATGGCCATTTCGAATTCTTACAAAATCGGTTTTTCGATTCTGTATTCTCACGAAATTTTCAATTCGTTCTATACTAACGAAATTTTCAAGTAATTTGAATTTTATTGTTCAATTGATTGACATCTTATGCATATTATTTTTTTGTTCGATGAACTACATTAACGAATAACGACTAACGTTAGCGTCTACAATACCGATACTTTTACTACATCTTGACAGGGTCATTTTGGTCATTTCCCAAGATATATCAACTAGTACTTTACAGGTTCTGCTCATCAAAATCTGGTGCTGTTTATTCCATAAAGGCAACTAAAAAATAATGTCACCAAGATAGCTAAAGTACAAAAAAAAAAAAAAAGAGAAAATTAATTTACAACTTGTTAAATTTCTCACTCTTGTTGTTCCTAACATAATTATAGTTAACAAAATTTCCCCAATTGAATTAGCATCACGCTTATGTCATCACTAGCGCCTCTCGAAACAGAGAGTTCGACGAGCTTTCTACACGCCAATAAAGGCTGAGGCTTTTCGACGCCTTTGCACAAATCGCGAGCAATATCTACTGCTTCTTGATTGCTCACCTGCATTAACCATAATCAATTGACAAGTCAATAACATATATTTATTATAAATAAAAAAACAAAAAAAAAAAACCCTTTAATCATATTTAAGAAATTACGTAAAAATACGATCCAAGATTCGATTTTTATACCTTATCCCACAATCCATCAGAAGCAAGTAGAAGAAACTCAAACTCACGTTCGAGTTTGAGTACTTTAGTCTCCGGTTCTGCCGAAATCCACTGCTTGAGATATTTATCTCCGATAGCTCGAGACACCGCCAAACAACCTAGTACTCTCCAAACGCCATTCCGACATTCCACAAAACCACCCTAAAATACATTAAAAGAATAACGAATCAAGAAACCAGTCTTTAATTAAGAGGGTGGTGAATAATAATTGCGCGTGTGTCTTTTTTAAGGTGCTAACCAGGGTTTCGATCCTGTGTTTCTCGTCCTCCCTGGACGGGCGGTGATCGGAGGTGAGAGCCTCTGCCGCCCCGTTTCTGCTGACAACCGCGCGACAATCGCCGGCGTTCGATACCACTAGTTTGTCTCCGGCGATGAGTGCTGTGACGCAGCATGCTCCTTCTCGAAAATCTTTCTTTAGAAATTCCGAATGAGTTGTTAAGTAACCGTTTTTTACAGCTAGCTCAATGCCTTCATCTGATTGGTCGAGTTTTCTCACTTCATCAATGATGTTCTTGTCCAAATTTTGAGATGCAAATTCAGCTGCCTTTGTGCCACCGTGTCCATCAAATATACCAAATATAGCCTTCAAAAGGATTAAAAAAAAGATAATTTATCAAAATATGCCCGTTTAGAATTTTGGTTAATTGCATTGAGCACCCATGATTTTACTCTAATTGTTAAACAATCCCCCATGTTATAAATATTAGCAAAAAGACCCCATATAACTCAATTTTATTATCAAACTATGCCCAATTAGAATTTAGGTTAATTGCATCTACCACCCATGAGTTTACTCCAATTGTTAAAAAAACCCCCCATGTTATAAATATTAGCAAAAAACCCCATATTAACTCAATTTTATCATCAAACTACATCTAATAAGTAAAAACAGATCATTAAGTGGGCTGTGTGATAAAAAAAAATGCATCATAGGGGGGATTTTTGATAATAATTATCACAGGGATTGTTTTAAGATGAACTACTGTGGTTTATTGCATTCAGCACCCTTTATTTCCTCTAACTTGTAAAAAAACCCTCCAAGTTATTTTTATCAGCAAAAAACACCCCTTATGATTTGATTTGTTTACCTTGATCGGATCATCTTGAAGACCAATCACAGCAGAATATCGATCCTCCATCTCACCGTGCCTTCTCCCTCTTTTACAATAAACCGAATACCCATCTCCGGCCACCTCCACCACCGCCTCCTCAACCAGCGGCGCAGCCGCCGATTTATTCTCCGACATCGAAACCACCACCGGAATATCCAATTGCGGCGGCCTCTTCCTCTTCAAAGCGGCGGATGACGAATCTCCGGCGGCGGCGGAGAAAGCCCTAGCGAGCCCACTTGTCTTGTGGAAACGAACGAGACGAGGAGAAGAAGAAGAAGAAGAAGAAGAAGATTTGGGAGAGCAAACGGAGGATGAAGGCGAGAAGACCGGTGAATTTGATGCTGCCACTGCGCAAGAAGACATTTTTAATTATTTATTATTAATTATTTATTGTTTGTTTTCTCTAACGTTCGGATTTTTTTGTATTGTTTGAGAAATAAGGGGGGAGGGTATATATAGGGGGGGGTGGGGGTGGGGTGGAAGTCAATGAGTCATTGTGTAATAAATAATAATCCGGGGTTTTTTTTTTTTTTTTTTTTAATTTTTTTTTTTTTTTTTTTTGTTTTTGAGTACGTGTAATGATAAATAAATAATAATGCGTGTTGAATGAGTGTTGATCTAAATTATTTGCATCTTTTGTTTAAGTCCAACTTCTTTCTTAGTGCTTTACACTTGATGGTGAAAAACGTGTTATTTGAGATAGAAGGCAACACTTTTTTATGTGTATGTATCTAATTGGTCAATGGGACCATCTCTCCATTTTCTTTAGTTTTCATTACTATTGTTAGTTTACATTTATTTTTATAGTCTTCGCGTATGAAAGCTCAAAGATAAGAAGAAGCTCATGTGTTTTGAGAGGCTTGCAAAAATGAGTGGTGGGGTCGGATGGTTTTCTGGCGTTAGTACTCCGACGGTCAAGTCAGTTAGAATCGTATAGAAACAATGTTACAAATATACTTTGAGAAATATAATAAGAATGTGTGTATTAAAAATACATCCGAGAGTTGTTGTTCCCTTGTGTTTCAAGACTGTATGAATACATATCGTATGGATAGGATGGCGGTCCCTCGTTATGTCTTTGGTCAGATCACATGCACGTGGGAGTGATGTGACTATTTTGAGTTGTGCGTGTCTGCTGAAGACGAGTTATCTTGCTTGTTGCGATCTGGTTTAGTGTAATGGAGAGAGCCAACTGGTGTAGTCGCTCTTTGTTTAGCCACAAGTGGACCTCTCCCCGATCCATGTTATGTTGCAGGCTTTCTACCTTTGTTTCTGACATTGGGTCGAATATAGTTGCATCCGCCGTCTATATCTATCACACTTACACATGGAGCTAGTGACATACTCTAAGTGTTAGTGAATAAGATGAAATTGAGTTTGGATTGCCCTTCGGTTTTGTATAAGATCCTAGCTCGACGTAAATTCAATTTCGACAAAATACACAACATACTCCAAGTTGTTCTCCACCGAGCTTCAAACTCTAAGGGCCTCTTCGAAACCCGAAAATTATGTCAATCCCTTTGTTGTAGAAGAAACATCGCAATTCCGACTTGAGTTTTTCGAGCTTGAGCTCGAGCTCGAGCCTGCAAAAGAGGCGAGCTCGGCTCGTTCACACCCCTAGTTTAACTAGGATAAATGGGAGGATTTCACTAAGACATTGTTCCACTGTCTTCGCTCTACCGAATTTGACGATCCTTTCAAAGCGCTCACTACACGCATATCAAGACTATCTTCTTGTGGACAAAGATATTTTGAGCGGACATAAATGACACGTGCAATATATTTAATATTAGTGGAATGAAGTAATTATATATTGAGTTAGTGGGTGACTCAATTTTAAATAATCATTTACATACAAGTAGGTTAGTAGGTTGATGTTTAATGTCACCTTATGCATTTATTTAGGGGGTCAACTATTTTAAATCCCAACTTTTGCTTACTTGAATACTACCAAGTTTAAAACCAAAATTGAGTACATATTTATCAGTTTTTTCTTACTTTAATACCAAAATAAAAAGAAAAGTCCAAAAACACCCTTTCATACAAAATATCAATTATATCAATTTTTTTTAGAAATTACCTATTCAAAAACCAAATAAAAAAAAAAAAGAAAAAAAACCCTTTGTTGTAAAAAAAAAAAAAACCTCCACCATTTCTTCTCCTCTCCAACCCTCACCGCCGCCGCCGCCGAACGCCACCGTACGTGCTCGTAACTGCCGCGACAACCCAATTAAACCCTATCTTTTTCATCTTCTTAAATCCTCCAAAACATCTCCAAATTCAAAAAATCAAAACCTCACAAAACTTATAAAATGGAGTTATAAGACAATAATATGGTAGTATATGTGGAAAGAGAAGCCATTAAGGTAAGTATCGATGTCTTTTTTGAGCTTCGAAGTCGATTTTGAAGTTTTTTTTTTTGAAACCCTTCGGCAATTTTCGACACATACAGGTCGATTTTTTGGTCAATTTTCGACACCAACGTGTCGAAAAAAAAAAGAAAAAAAAAATAAATAAATAAATTTCGACACCTACCTGTCGAAAATTCTCCAAATTTCGACAGGTATGTGTCGAAAAACACTA